TTAGAAGAGACAGGGTTTCACCATCTTGGCCAGACTGGTCTTGAACTGCTGACCTCGTGATCCACTTGCCTTGGTCTCCCAAACTGCTGGGATTACAGGCGTGAGCCACTGTGCCTGGCCGGGACATATTCTTTAAGAAGATCATATAACCTATGTATCTTGGATCTCGTCTATGTTAATTAATGTACTATTCAGGTATGTTCTGGAATAGAGAGATGAACAACAACAAAAAATGGGCTCTGATCTTAAGGAATCACTGTTTATGTTTCTAGGCTTGCTCTCTACCTAAACTGAATAAAATGAGCTTTTGCCCCATGCTATTGGAGTTTAACAGCTGGTTTATAGGAGGCTGGCCTATTTTTAATTACTGGTCATAGGAACTCTTCAGTCTTAGTAAGCCCAGTGTCATTTCAGTCCACTGGTGGATCAAGCTTCATTGTTATACCCTTCAATAGATGTTACTGGTACCTACTAAGAATGACACTCTGTCACCTGGGTCTTTCAAGAACTAAAACAAAGTTGAAAATTCAGTAAGTTCTTAATCCTGCAGGAGTTGCAAAATGTTTTATTCTTCGGACTGGTTGTAAATTAGTAAACGTTTGGAATTGCCCTGGGGAAACAACCACTATGCATTCTTAGACTGTCTTCCCCAATTTACCTTCGGTACTGAATCCATCCACACAAGGTGACTTCTTGGCCTAAGTGAGATGAACGCAGCTCTCCACATGTGTTGGTCCGGACAACAAAGCTACTGAATTCTTTAAAAAGAAGAAAAGAAAAGAAAAGAAAAGAAGCTTTAAAAGGCAAGATTAAAAATACATCACTTGCAGGTTGTTTAAAAATAAAAATTCTCAAAATACATCTTAGGTAAGTTAGGGAAACAGGTGAAATTTATAAAATAAGTCAGAGTATGTAATTTAATTCACTCACTATTAAATTTACCTGCAAATGTGTCAAAAGCCAAGTGAATAACTGAATGTAAATTTCTGTCTTGTGTTAGGAAATCTAAATTCTTTGGATCATCTAGCATTTGCATTGATTTAAATCCTAATTACCCAACTCTTGGTATTTCACATTTCTTCTCCAAATGAAATAGGATTTTAGAAACTGCAGAAATGGATGGTGCAGGAACTATTTAGTTTTAGTATGAATCCAGCGTTTAACAGCCACTTGTACACTAGAACACTATTATAATTCTGTGAAAAAGGATTTTTTAAGGCATCAACCAAAAGCTGGGTATTCTATATATTACGTGGTTACCTGTTTGTGGTCTTTCTAAAAACTCAGGGAAAAGAAAACCCGCATTATAATGAATGAAGAGAGTGAACGATCTGCTTCTACACATAAGGCTATCCAGTTAAGAATTGGAATGAAACAAAAGCTCTCTGGCCGTAGATAACAGACTGAAGTACTGTTCATAGAACAGATCTCTTCGCTATTTTCACCTGGATTTCTCCTCTGTGAACTCAGCACCAGACTTCTGGAGAGAGAACCCCAGATGGGTTGGGTGGTCCTTCTAATAGGTCTGGATAAACCCCTGTACAGCTGACTTAACCAAGAAGGCAAGTACATGTTGGAGCCACAGGATGGCGAAAAACAGTCACGAATCCCACGCTGCCGGTAGTTAAAAGTCGGTTTTGGAGATACAGAAATCCCTTAAAATTCCAGGAGTTCCCACTCTCTTCTCGAATATTTAAGTCTTCCTCCGCACAACATTCGAGTACACGTCTCTAGAAGCAAGACAAATCTGCAAGTTATTTGGGGCCCTTGATGGGGTGAAGATAAGGGAAAGACCTTTCCCCGAGTCTTAAAGCATCAGTTTCCACTTCTATTCAACAAGTCGACAGCCAAAAGTGACAAGACAGCGACTCCACGTAGCAGGGCCAGGCGCGAGCCCAAGACAACCCAGAGGCTGTCACGAGGCCCACGCCCTTCCTTTCTTTCTACGCTTCCCGACAGGCTCCCGCGCCAGAACCGGGAAACAAGGAAGAATAGTCTCGCGTTTCAAATTTCGCAGACCTGCTGTCCGATCTTGAGCCTTCTGAAAGAGGAAGGCGAACAAAGCCAAAATGCTAAATGCTCCTAGGGCCGGAACCCATACACAGATCACCGCTGAGGTCCAAGCGCCCTTCCAACGGCCAGCTAATGCAGAGGATTACGGGGAAGGAATTCAACGAATCAGTGCTGAGGTGCCGCCGCCATGCTTATTATGGGCGGAAATTTGAGAGAAAGCTTCGCACCAGTAGAAAAACTGACGAGCAGCCGAGCAGAATTGGAAAAGTTGGCGATAGTAGTTAAGTTGCTGGGCCTTGCCCTCAGTTAAAATGGCAACTTTAGTTGCTTCACTATTACGGAATAGGCGGGGCGCCAAGGAGGCTTCCTGCGTGGGGCCGCAGAGCTAGTCGGGAAACTATTTTAAACGGTCGAGGCGGCAGAGGGCCGAATTGCCGTTTCTCGATGGCGTGTTTTCAGAGCTGGCCTGGGCTGTAACAGGCTTATCCGGAGAGGGACGGGTTGGGACGCACTGTCCTTTTGCCCTTCCCCCTCTGCGAGCAGAAGCTGACTCCACTGGAGCAAGGGTCGCAGAGCTGGGTGAGCGGAAATGTCCCTCACAGAGTGAAGTCGCAAGGCCCACCCCGCGTCTGTGGGAGCGGAGGTCTTCCTGGGCGCGGTTGTGTCTCTGGTGAACTCACTTGCTGTGGAGCGAGAGGGAATTTGGGAGAGCCAGGGATTACTCTGGCATCTCCCTTAGCTGTCATTTTGGCGGGTTTTTTTTGTTTGTTTTTTGTTTTTTTCTCCTTCAGGGGATTTCAGTCTCGACATAGTTTTGTAGCCGGATTTTGAAGAATGATTCGTGAATCCCGAATGGGTGACAGCGTCATTACGGCATTTTATTGGTAAAGATGCTTTGTATTGGTCTAGGAGCTGCTTTAAACTTTGTATTTGCCCTGTTGTGTGGTCATTATCTTCACAATACTTGTGTGTTGAGATGTGTTTACACACTACGTGCTTAACACCCGGCTAAGTATTGGCACTGGGGCGGTTGGATTTAGATATTGGTGGCAATGTAGAAAAGTGATCAAGTCAGAGCCCTTTCACGGACTAACCACAAGAGAAACAAGAAAGGTTTACTTGTGTACTTCCACAACTGCAAGTGGAATTGGCAAGAGAACTAGCTCTGCCAAGCTCTGGAAAACTTCTCCTGATGAGATGGCACTTGGAAAATGGATATGTGGTCACACAAATGGGAGTAGGGAAGTGTTTTTAATTGGCGATAAGGTGAATAAAAAGGGAGGAGGAGCAGTAGGGTAATCATCTGTCTAGAGTGGGGTGTGCATGTTTGGGTATAGGGCAGTGATTCTTAACCTTTTTTTTTTTTTTTTTTT